TTTTTTTTTTTTTTTTTTTTTTAATTTTTTTTTTTTTTTTTTTTTTTTTTTTTGAGATGAAGTCTTGCTCTGGTATCCAGGCTGGAGTGCAGTGGTGTGATCTTGGCTCACTGCAACCTCCACCTCCCGGGTTCAAGCTATTCTGCCTCAGCCTCCCGAGTAGATGGGATTACAGACATGCCCAGGTAATTTTTGTGGTTTTAGTAGAGGCAGGGTTTCACCACATTGGCCAGGCTGGTTTCAACCTTCTGGCCTTCTGACCTCAAGTGACCCACTCTCTTCAGCCTCCCAAAGTGCTGGGGTGAGCCACTGCACCCAGCCCTAAAACTGCTTACATTTTGAGTGTGCTTCTGCTTGATCACTTCTGACTCAGAACCACTTATGTTTGTTTCCAGTAAAACTCTCCTGTGCCAGCAAGAAGACTGGTGATACATTTCTTAACAAGTTATCTACCCTTGTCTCCAGACATCATTCCAAGCGGCTGACCTCCATTCAGCAACTTTTGATGCTGTTACCTTTTTTAATTTACAGGATGTGCCATTAGAAGGTTTATCACCAACAACCAGAATCATATTCCTTCAATGAATGGTTTTTCCTGATCATTTACTGAATGAAACATCAGAAGGGGAACATTTGTCCAATAACAGCATCAGAAAACCAACCGTATTTGCACATGCATAGGCAATGACCACTATGTCATGACTGCCACTTGGCTGACAATACTGTAAGATGCCATTCATTGTAGTAACATGCAACTAGGTTTCAGAGATGTTAAAAAAAAAAAAAAAAGTATTCTTCAAGTAATGAATTAATGGTATGCACAGCCAACCAAGAAGTTAAGAAAAACATTGGTAATGGTTTGAAGATGAATATTTCACTGGCATAAAAGATATGAAGCAACAAGAAGATATGGCATATATGAACCATTAGGTACCAAAAAAACTTAGAATTAAAGTAGTCTAAGCAAATGGTATAAAATAATAACATAATTTGATTAAAAATACATTCATAGGTAATTTAATACTTCCTATGAGCAACTGATAGATCAAGCGAAAAAAATATAAGAATTAAAAATACAAAGAGCAAATAGTTAACAAAATTCAATTTCTAAATATATAAATACATATATGTTATATGGTATGTACCTATTAATGTTAACATATTAAAATATATATGTATAATTCTATGTAATATTACATGTTCATATTATATAATATATTACATATAAATAAAATTTTATATATATATATATAAATTTATACCTGAAAATCAGTGTTAATTTTTCTTAGGTTTGCATGGAAAATTTATTTTTAATGCACAAAGCCACAAAGGAAATATCAAAAAATGCTCAAGGTTGATATCATAAAGGCCATTCCATCTAACCATAGGCAATAATAAACATAGACTATTCTAAAAGAGCCCCTAAATAATCCAATCACTTGAGAATTTAAAAATAATATATACGATTCATATTTTAAAGGAAAATAATAACCAAAACAGATAGAAGTTGAAATAAAGACAATGAAAACACTGTATCAACATTGTAGGATGTGTCCTGATATCTCTTTGAGATCCTGATTTTAATTCTTTGGGATGCATAATGACAAGTGAGATTTGTGGGTCATATGGTGGCTCCACTTTAAATATTTTGAGGAAACTTCACACTGTTTTATAGTGGCTGCACTATTTCAAATTTCTTCCCAAAGCGTACAAGGGTTTTAATTTCTCCACATCCTCACCAACACATTGTTTTTTTTGATAATAGCCATTCTAACAGGTGTCAGGTAATATCTCACTGTGCTTTCAATTTGCGTTTCCCTGATTATTAGTAAATGCTAAGCATCTTTTCATATACCTGTTAGCCATTTGTATGTCTGAAGAAATGTTCATTAAGTCCTTTGTCCACTTTTAATCAGATGCTTGTTTGTTTGTTTGTTTCCCATTGAGTTGTGTGACTTTCTTACATATTTTGAATACTAACTTCTTATCAGATACATGGTTTGCAAATATTTTCTCTCATGTCATAGGTTGCCTTTTCACTCTGTTGATTTTTTTCTTTGGTCGTGCATAATCTGTTCAGTTTGATAGTCTCACTTGCCTACTTTTGCTTTTGTTCCTTGTGATTTTGGTGTCATATCCAAGAAATCTTGCCTAGATTAATGTTATGAAACTTTCCCCCTATGTGTTCTAGATTTTGGGCAGTTTCTGGCCTTACATTAAAATCTTTAATTTATTCTGCACTCTCATGTTTATTGCAGCATTATGTACAATAGCCAGGTTATAAAAACAACCTAAATGCCCATTTATGGATAGATGGACAAAGAAATTGTGGCATATGCATGCAATGAAATATTATCCTGCCTTTAAAAAGAAGAAAATCCAACCATTTGGGACAACATGGGAGAACCTGGAGTATATCATGCCGAGTGAAATGAGCCAGTCACAAAAGGATAAATACTGCATGATTCCACTCACAGAGAAGATATCTGAAATAGTCAAATTCATAGAAACAAAGAGTAGAACAGTGGTTTCCAAGGACTGGGGGAAGGAGGAATGAAGAGATGCTCTTCAATGCATATAATCTTCATTTAAGCAAGAGAAATAAGTTATAGAGATCTACTGTACAAGAGTATGCATATAGTATACTGTATTAACAATATTGTACATGTAAAAATTTATTAAACAGGTATATCTCATATTAAGCCATAATACAAATAATTATAGGATGTATCCAAGGGATACTAAGAAAAAATGCAACATTTTATTCATTAATAAAAAAATAGGCCAGGCACAGCAGCTCACACCTGTAATCCCAGCACTTTGGGAAGCTGAGGCAGGTGGATCACTTGAGGTCAGGAGTTTGAGACCAACCTGGCCAACATGGTAAAACCCTGTCTCTACTAAAAATACAAAATTAGCTGGGCTTGGTGGCACAGGCCTGTAATCCCTGCTACTTGGGAGGCTGAGTCAGGAGAATTGCTTGAACCTGGGAGTTGCAGTGAGCCAAGATCATGCCATTGCACTGCAGCCTGGGCAACAAGAGTGAAACTCTGAGAAAAAGAAAGAAAGATAAGAAAGAAGGATAAGAAAGAAAGA